TCCACCTTCACCATCACCTCCACCACCATATTATTATAAATCTCCGCCACCACCCTTGCCATCTCCACCTCCACCTTACTATTATAAGTCTCCACCACCACCTTCTCCTTCACCTCCTCCACCATACTACTATAAATCTCCACCACCTCCTTCTCCTTCACCTCCGCCATCTTATTATTACAAGTCTCCGCCTCCTCCATCACCATCACCATCACCATCATACTATTATAAGTCCCCACCACCACCTGCTAAGTCACCTCCTCCCCCATACTATTATAGTTATCCACCACCACCAGTAAAGTCTCCTCCTCCACCATATTATTATTCCTCACCGCCACCACCAAAGAAATCACCCCCGCCACCATATCACTATACTTCCCCACCACCACCAGTTAAGTCTCCTCCTCCACCATATTACTATTCCTCACCACCACCACCCAAGAAATCACCTCCTCCCCCATATCACTATAGTTCCCCACCGCCACCAGTTAAGTCTCCTCCTCCACCATATTACTATTCCTCACCACCACCACCTAAGAAATCACCTCCTCCACCATATTACTACTCTTCTTCACCACCACCAAAGAAATCACCACCGCCACCATACCACTACTCTTCCCCACCACTACCAGTAAAGTCACCTCCAACTCCATACTACTACACCTCCCCACCACCACCAAAGAAGTCTTCTCCCCCATCATACTATTACACTTCACCGCCACCACCTACTCATTACTATCCTCCACATCATCATTTGGTGGTCAAGGTTGTCGGAAAGGTCTACTGTTTTAGATGCTATGATTTAAAATACCCAGAAAAGTCTCATGGCAAGAAACACCTGAAAGGTACCGTTTTTATACCATGCCCACTCTCTTTATTTACTTTTAACTTATCATCAAAAAATTATTTAACTATATATTTTCCTTTTTGTTGCTTTATTAATAAAAAGGAATAAGAATAGTTAAGTAAAGTTAGAAAAAATTAATTTTTATCATGTGATCGAAGAGTTAGTTTTATATTATGAAAAATAAATTTTGGTTCTAAGGTCGTGAAATATATGTTAGATGCTTAATTATTTTAGTGTTTATTAATATATTATTCTTTTTTACATGAATTAGGTGCCGTTGTTAAGGTAACTTGTAAGGCTGGTGACAAGAAAATTGTGAGTTATGGTATCACAAAGATCAATGGCAAATTTAGCATTACTGTTAAAGGATTTGAATATGCCAAATATGGAGCAAAGGCTTGCAAGGCTAAACTACACAATGCTCCAAAGGATTCAAATTGTGACATTCCTACAAATCTTCATTGGGGAGTAAAGGGTGCTAACCTTAAAGTGAAGTCAAAGAACCATTATGAAGTTGTACTTTATGCAAAATCATTTGCTTATGGCTCTAAGACACCTTATGCAAAATGCACAAAACCTATGCCTACGCCTACTCCATACTACTACAAATCTCCTCCACCTCCATCGCCGACTTATATTTACAAGTCACCACCTCCCCCAACCCCGACATACGTTTACAAATCTTCGCCGCCACCAACCCCGACATACGTTTACAAATCTTCGCCGCCACCAACTAAGTCTCCACCATCTCCTTATTACTACAAGTCTCCACCTCCACCATCACCAAAACATGCCCATGTATACTATTATAAATCACCACCGCCTCCATCTTCATCGCCTCCACCTTCTTACTATTATAAATCCCCTCCACCACCATCACCTTCTCCTCCTCCTCCATATTACTACAAGTCGCCACCACTCCCATCACCATCACCTCCACCNAAGTCTCCTCCACCACCATCACCATCTCCTCCACCACCCTATTACTATAAATCACCACCACCTCCATCGCCATCACCGCCACCACCCTATTACTATAAATCACCACCACCTCCATCGCCATCACCGCCACCACCCTATTATTACAAGTCTCCACCACCGCCATCTCCATCACCGCCACCACCCTATTATTACAAGTCTCCACCACCGCCATCTCCATCACCGCCACCACCCTATTACTACAAGTCCCTTCCTCCACCGTCGTCTTCTCCTCCACCTCCATACTATTACCACTCTCCACCTCCACCAGTAAAGTCTCCTCCTCCTCCCTATTACTACAGCTCACCTCCTCCACCCGTGAAATCACCACCTCCGCCAGTATACATTTATGCTTCTCCGCCACCTCCAATCCACTACTAAATATTTCTAGGAGCTCAGCCATTCTCCATAATCAATCAAGTGAGTAGCCGTTTAAATTGAATATTTCTTTTCCATATGAAATCAACTTTTGATTTTTCTTTTCTTTGAATTAAGTTCTAATCTTATATTTCATTGTTTGTTTTCAGATTTTAATTTGAAGGACAAAATAAATGCTGGCTTCTTGAGCAAAAGATTCAAACATCAATGGCACAAAGCAATTAATTTATGGAATAAGATATTCAATTTTTCAGTTGAAGGATTGATTCTTATTGCACATTGTTCTCTAGTGCATTCACGGGGACAAGGCTACAATAACTTTGATTCTTCATATATAGAGTTTGTTTTTTCGTAATTTATTGTTGTATTGAGGATGTCCTCGTTTTATTCATTTCCTATTAGTTATTGCAAGTTGTTTTCTTGTAATACCTTGGTGTACTTTGTGCACAAATCAATAAGAAGATCAATTTCGTTATATTCTCTGTTTTTTCTTTTTGCTTTTTCCACTCGGTAAACAAATAAATAAGTCTTATCCTTATATATAAAAAATGAAAATACCAATAATTTTTTTAAGATCTTTAAAATAGTTTAAAGGTAAAAGAAGTTCAAGACATATATAAGTGATACACGTACCTCTCGTGTACTTTTTATATTCGGGAAGGGTCAAAAATGCTACTAAACTATTGAAAAAGGTCTAAAAATATCTCATCCACCTATTGGACTAAAAATACCCTCCGTCCACTTTTTTTGTTCACTTATACCCTTTGACCGTTAGGTCAATGCTGAATTTAAATAATTATTTAAATTCCATGTGGCAACTTCTTATTCGCCGAAATTAAAATATCTAACCTATTAGAAAGACACACGCCATATCTACCCGTATTTTCGGAAACACCCACCCCAAACACTAATCTAACCCGAATAAAAAGTTCAAATAAAAAAATGATACTCCACTTCCATCTAACCTATGGATTTACATATGTTTATTTTCTTGATTAATCTTATGTATAGCACTATCATCGAATAAAAGTTCATGAACAAATTAAACAAATAAGAAAAGCCTAGCATGAATGAGCCAACGATTTTCTTGACAATAATGTGAGACGAAAAACTAGGGGTAGTCCAACGGTTTATGATATCTTCCAAACAATCACTTTGAGATCTTTCCATTATGTGAAAATGATTAAATTAAACTCATCTTGAATATAATACAATTTGTGTCTATCATGCAAATTGAACTGGATGACATAACAAGAAAAAGAAAATCACGTAGTAAATTTGCATCTATATATTTGGTGCAACTTCCATGGAGCTTTTGTTCTACGGAGTTTGATAGAAGTAGGGCCTCTTTTTTTTAGTTGAACTTTTTGTTCGAGTCGGGTTAGTATTTAAAGTGGGTTAGTATGAAAAACTGTTAGATATGGATGGGTCTTCCTTATGGGTTAAATGTTTTAATTTTGGCCAATAAGAAGTTGTCACGAGAAATTTAAATAATAATTATTTTTAATTCAGTATTGACCTAATGGTCAAAGGGCAAACGTGAACCATAAAGGTGGATGAAGGGTATTTTTAAACTTTATCTAATAGTTTAGGGCATTTTTAACCCCTTTCCTTTTTATATTTAAGATTTTTTAAAATAAAGCAAAATACTTTACATTTTTTAAATTTGTAAAAGTTGGGTTGAAAGACAAATGCCACACCAGCATGTCCACGTAGAAAGTTACTGCTTCTACTTAGGTGATGTTTGATTGGTTCTCTACATTAATATAATGGAGAAAATAATATCCACATAAAACTTAACATTATTAATACGAGTATTGGTTTCACTTTTCTACCAGTATCTCTCCATAATTATCCACGGTTGTGATGGGTGGAAAATAAAGTGCCTTCTATTCTTAAGTAAAGTATTTTTTCTCTTTAATTATAGGTCTTGAATTCGAGCTCGAAAAATAAACTTACAAAAGTGTTTTGCCCAAAAATTGGGACTTTACAATTTAAATCCGGATTAGTCGAGCTCACCGGAACATCGAGTCATGAGATACCAAACAAAAACAAAAGAAAAAAACCCTCTCCATACAAGGTAGATTTATAGTCTTGAAAATAAAACAAGTTATTGCTACAATGCGCAAATATACTATGTCAATATAAAATTTTATTAAACACTGTATATTCATATAAGTTAAACTCATTATGAAATCACGTTAGTTACCTCAAAATAGGACTTTAAAAACTCATCTAGTTTCTCACAAACAATCATTCTCTTATTTAAGATAGGAATTTTGGCCAAAAAAAACTAAAAACTAACATATGAATCTACAAATTAGAAGGTTCTTCTGACACGGTATTAACTGCTGAAACCTATCAATATTAAATAAAATGTTCATTTCCAGTTGGCAACAAGTAATTTCTTTAGCCATCACCGGTGACCCTAAAACAAAAATTCCATGCAAAAGAAAAGTACTTAGTAGTATTTTACTTTGCTTGATGAAAATGAAGGGGAAAAAATTCTTAATATTACAAGAAAACATGCATTGTTTAATTTTCCTTCTTCACATCCAAATTGATAGGAAGGCGTGGAGGTCGAGAACTAGGATAGAAGTCTAGGTAGTCGAGTGTTTTCCTTATTCGTACCAGTAGTTGCAGTGTTAGTCTTGTATTTTGTTATTCGTATATTTCTATAACTATTTGTTGTTTCTTTCGCTTCGGTTTTTTTGTTGGATTGCTGGTGTTACTACTTGTTTTTACGGTTTCTTTTTTCATCTTTCCTTGAGCTGAAAGTTTATTGAAAATAGTCTTTCTACTTTTCCAAGGTAGGGGTAAGGTCTCGGTACATACTGTGAGCACATGATTTTTGCCCGACTAAAATATTCCTACAAAAATTCACAAATAGAGAGTTTCTTAATTGTTTTAGGTTTTACAGAATTTGTAGGGATTTTTGGTTAATTGTTGCTTGCATTTATTTGCATATTTAATATTTTTAAATCATGAGAAAATACCAAAATGTCTAAAGTATTTCATGCATAACATTTTAGGTCTTAATTGCACTTAGGATTTAATTACATAAGTTAATTGTATTATTAAACAGAAAATCACAAAATATGGGTCATTTTTGAATTTTTAGCTTTTAATTGCAAATTAAGTAATTTTTCCTTCATTAGTCTAAATTAATTAATTATGTTAAAATAGCTAACTAGGTTTATTTCTACAAATTAGATTAATTTAAGACTTAATTTAGGTTTTAATTATTCAATTAGAATTCAAAATCAAGAAAAAGAAAAGAGAAGGAAATTCGGTTTGGGTTTAAATCCGGGCCAAAATAATTTGGCCCAAACAACCACCTGAATTCCGCCAGGCCCAACCCCTCACCCGGTCCAGTCTCACAACTAAGTGCGAACGACGCCGTTTTGGATGGATCGATCTCGACCATTGAATCCCTCTCCATCCAACGGGTGCAGTCCACTCTCACCCCCATATAAAAGGGCCATTATAACTCCTCCCCCCCAGAACACTAAACCTAAATGCAGAGCTAAGCGGCGCCCACCTCTTTTTCTCTTTCTCCGTCGACCGAACTCGCTTGAACTCAAGTGAGTTCACCCTCCCTCCAACTCACGCACGTGGTTCCTTCACCCTCCCTCCTCCACGTCACCTATCCCGTAACGACCTCTGACAGAAAAGATNTTTTCTCTCCCTCCGTCGACCGAACTCGCTTGAACTCAAGCGAGTTCACCCTCCCTCCAACTCACGCACGTGGTTCCTTCACCCTCCCTCCTCTACGTCACCCGTCCCGTAACGACCTCTGACAGAAAAGATTCTTCTCTCCCTTAGGCTTCACGCACTTTTTGTATTGAGAACAATCTCGGATGAATGGTGGTCGTAGGATCTGAGAGATTCAAGATCCTAGACCTCCATTTGTCCGATTTGGTTCACAAGAAAGAGAATCGGATTCTCGCGGATTTTTCGGACGGAAAGAGGAATTTTAGGGCACAACTTGAAGAAAATAGGTATGAAAATTTCTGGTTTGGGTATATATAGGGAGGTTAAGGGATTTCTCAGGGGTCTCTTTTTTTGGGAACAAAAATTTTTCAGAGAGAAAAATCGGAAAGAAAAGCTAGGGTTTTAAAAACGTTCTTTTCCTTCTTAGCGGTGGATCTTCTTTTTGATTATTTTGTTTAGTTTCAGAACAAAAAAAAATATAAAAAAAACATGTTCAGTCTTCTTCTTTTCCATTTTATTTCAATTACTGTCTAAAAATTCGAAAAAAAATTCCGTCCCTTCTTTTCCAATCTGGATTTTGAGTTGAAAACTGGAGTTCGATTGGGAAGTTGTTGAGTTCGCTGCTGCTCAAGAAGGTTTTTGCTGAAGTCCTTGTTCGGACGTCATTTTCTTCATTGTAGTTCTGCTTATCATTTAAGAGGTCACATTTCGAATTCTATCCTTCTTTTCTGCAGATTCTGTGTCATGAATGTTGGCGTTATTTGCTTATTTTCTCTTATTTCTATATCTTGGCGTATATAATGATGTCTTGAATGTTTTTGAACTTTAAATGAATGGGGTTATTTTCAACAGTCATGCCGTAGATTTGGATTTCTCTTATCGACATGTTTCTGTTGTTCATTCTGAACTAACATATTATAATGGGTTATTACTGTAAAATGACTTGATTCTTTATATGAATGTTCATCCCTCTTCCTGTTATGTTTCCTCACCAAAGTTTGCGTCATTTTTGTTTTGATTTTATTTGCTTGGATATGATTGAGTCCAGTCTCTGAGTTATCTCGGATCTTGAGCAATACCACGTTGAATATGTTTCATGTTTAGCTCATTACTTTTCGGCTGTCGTATGGTGAGTCGTATGATTATCTCTCTTAAGTGGCTAAATTTCTCTATAGAGAACAGACCCCCCCTCCATTCATATACCCAGATTTTTCTGATTTGGATCCTGGATATGTCTTCTAAGAGACATGCTGTTTGCCCTTCAGCTTCACGTAAATGTGTTATGCCTC